ATAACCAGCACAACATTTCCAGCCACAAGTGCCAGAACTACAACTACAATGACAGCCATAATACCAGCTTTTAGTCTTTGCATTGAAAATTCAGGTGCCTTTCCATCAAGATAATAGATTAAGTTTTAGCAGGATTCAGATCAAGCATTTCACCATTTATGTCAAGATTAATTTTACTGGAATAAAAGAGAAATCACTTTTTACATCTTTCTCAAAATAATAAGCCACATCAGCTGTGTCCACATCATTAGTGCTTTTCTGGGTACTATTTTGCATCAGGTCAATAGTGCTATCCTCTTCAAACAAAAATCTTTTGATGTATTTAGGGTTCAGTTAATAACGATGATGAATTTCCTGTTTGATGGCATTTTCTAAGATAGTACTATTAAAAGGTTTTTCTCTTGTTTTGTGTTTCAGTTCAATGATGAACCAGTATGTTCTTGCTAGTTTACTGCATGGTATTTCACTATCCTTATCTTACTCCAGCTGTATTCACACACCAGCAAAGAGCAGTACCATTACACTGGCAAGGATGAAGTGACCATGGGCGTCACAATCAGGATCATATATTCCATCCATTATCTTTAATAGCTCCTTCTGGTTTATTTCTCAGTCCACTCTTTGAATTAATCATTTTTGCCTTCCTCACCAAACATTTTGTAGCCAGTTTTGAACAGGTGACTATATTTGGTGAACCAATAGCCTGACATTGGCACGCATCAGGTGATATTTCAGTGCATTTTTTAAACTTGTTTGTTTCACAGAAACAAACTTTCTGTCCTGGAGCAGCAGCGGAGCGCAAGAGCTGGTGGGGAGAGCCATGGAGAGCTCACCAGAAGGAGCTAAAAGGTACAGGGGCGCGGAGCTCCTCCCGCCCCTCTGATAAGCAGAGTGGGTCGGACCCACGCAAGGACCTCAAGGCCTCGGGCTAGGGGGAGGGAGCGAGGTCTCGTGCCCCTTGAAACTGGGAGACGCGAAGAGGGAAGGTCACCTGTTCCCAAGCGCGAAGAGGACCCGGAGGTGAGCTTGAAGAGGTCTGGAAGTCAGCCAGACTTGCGGAGGGCCAGAGCGAGTCTAGGGCTGTGGGCTGGTGTCTGGAGCCGCGCCAAGACCAGCCCTACCGCCCTAGTCTCTGCCTCTCTCTGAACCCCACCCTCAGCGCTGTGGTACCCCTGCCTTTCACGCCCACCTGTCCTAAGGCTTACGGGGTAGAGTCACTAGCTGTCTTCTCCTCCCACTCCCCTTCTCTCCTCTCCCCTCCTCTGGCGTCCCTGGCCATCTAGAGTCATTTTATGAAAGTATTTGGAGGGGTTTGGGGAAGACCTCCGGCTACTCCCTGCCTTTACCATCTTGGCTCAGCCTGAAGCAGTTATTTTTTTGTATCATCATGTTACATTTTCTTATGCTCCCTTATTTGATTGAATATATGTCTATCCTGCCTGTCCTATTAGACTATAAGCTCATCCAAAGCAGTCTATATTGTATGACTCTTTCTTTCCCTAGTATTCTACACAGAATAGTTAATTAACAATATTTATTGGATTATAATGATGACAGTGGTACTAAGGACTTCCACAGCAGTACCACAACATCTAAATCCAAGTAGGTCACATGCCTAGGTGAGTGAAATATATGTATTATATGTTCCCACAAAGATCTCTCTAGATGTTGCTCACAGGAAGGCAAATATATACACACACGTATATTTACATATATATGTATATATGTATATATATTATATATGTGTATATTTACATATTTACATATATGTATATATGTATATATGTATATATTATATATATATAATATGTATGTATGTATGTATATGTATGTATGTATATGTATGTATACACACGTAGGCATCTACCCTGCCCCTCCTAACCCTTTCCCAATTTTTTAGTTCAAGCTTCACTCTGATCACTACACCTTAGAAAGGAAGGAATGTCTTAATCTATATATTTAAATCTTGACTCCCTATCAAATGCCAATGACACAATTAACACACGTACAGCAAATAGCCAATAAATCCATTTATCCTAGATGACAGAAAAAAAAGAAATGAGAGGAAGGATGTTCAGGAGTACATAGGGTGAATAAGCTTTCCCATTAGAATCTAGATAACACAGCTTAACCAATACACAGTCTCAAATCTTACCCAAGAGGAAATTCCTGAAAGCCCCTATTATAATAATAGGCTGAGGACAGGGATGATATAGAAATTGCCAACTATTCTACATGTTGGCATCTTCTCACAGTATCTTTCTTTCCTTTCAGGGACCTAAAGAGAAATTGTAATTACATATTTTCTCTCTCCCAGCTGAAAGCCAGAAAAATAGAGCTCTCTCCTCTCTAGCTTTCACTAATTCTGCCTGCCTCTATCAAAGGCACAGGGTATTGACTATCAGTCTTCTCTAATGGGCCAAGGTTTACACTAGAATGTGCACAGTTAAGTAGTAGCAATATTAGGCACCAGAAGGAAAGAGTCATCTCATGAATTAAAAAAATAGAAAATAGAAAAATGATTTGATTCCCTTAAAGGAGATTCATTAAACATATTTAATGAAATCTATTATTATTTAAATATATTTCACTAAATATATTTAATGAAGATCATATTAAATGTGATGACAGATCTGTCATTACTACATTATTATACTTTGTAGTTTTAATAAGGCAATTAATCCTTACTTCCCATTTCAACACTCTACTGAATTGAGAATGCTTTAGTAATAAATAAGTGACCTTTGGAATACCTTCCAAATGTGAGATATTGTGATTCCAAGACATTTATTTCACTTATTGAATATTTGCTGTATTTTACTACTACTTGACATTAACTTTTGCTTTATTCCAATTTCAATTTTCTTCCATTCTCTGATAAAATGAGCATAGGATGCGCTACTGCTGCTTTTGGGGAATGACTCAGACTGTGGGGAAGGGGGAAGGTGGCAAAGGGGCAAGGAAATGATTCTTGCACTGGTGATAAGGAAACCCATAGATTTATAGCCAGGAAGTTGCCCATGTCTTAAAGTTCCCCAAGCCAAAGGAATGTTCCTTCCCTTTCCCTGTTCCCTTATAACTCTTAGCCTGCTGTTTTGGAACTTTTTGCCCTCCTTCATGGGTAACATACATGAAGGTGCTGCTATTCCTGTAACTACTCAAACCACCCAGCAGAGAATATTGTTGGCCCCCCCCTTTTTTTTTTTGTGAAACTAAAGTGGGCCAGGCTGGTAATCTGGAATTTCAACAAACCATTGCTCATGCCAAAGTTGCTGACATTCATGCTTTGAGATTTCCACCAAGTAGTTCTCTATAGCTTGCTCAACTGACAGGAACTCAGTTCCTCTTAGGCTCAGGTGCCAACAGATAGATTCAATCTTTACTTCAAACTAAGTATACATTCCAAACTGTCACCCATGTAGCATTTTGAAATGTCAGACTTTCATTAGGCTGTTGATCATTTCATAGGGATTCAAAAACATGGTGTACCCACAGATTGGACTATAGTAGAAGAAAGAACCCCTAATGCAGCTCCTGTACAAGACTGCTCATTCTTCTAAATGAAACCCACCTGCCTGCTGAGTTATGTCAGAAGCCTTATAAAACACAATCTGACCTCTCTCACATGCGTTCCATTGGTCACTATCAGGACTCAGCAAAAGAGGCTGAAGCTTGTCTACAGGAGATGCAGAGGACTGCAGCAGGGTGACTAGTACAGTGAGGAAACTGGAACAGCTGAAGGAAGTGGTTGGTTAGCCTGGAGAAGAGGGATGGGTTGGGGAAACATAATAACTGTATTCGTTTATTTGAAGAGCTGTCCAGTGGAAGAAGGATTTGTTTTGTTCTGCTTGGTGCCAAAGGACAGAATGAGAAGCAATGAGTAGAAACTACAGAAGCAGTCTTTATCTTAGTATGAGAAAAAAAAATACATACATATATATATAATATATATATATATATATATACACACACACATACATACATATACATATATCTATATCATTTCTATATATCTCTATCTATAACATCTATATCTATATCTATCTTTCCAATGCTGGAATGGCTGCATCAGGACACTGTGGGTTCCCCTTTACCAGAGGTATTCAAGCAGAGGTGACCTCATCACATCCATATTGTAGATGGAATTCCTCTTCAGGGATGGATTAGACTAAATGTCCTCAGAGATCCCATTAAATTCTGAGATCATTTGAATATAATTGGTTTAATTCTGCCTGGCTCTTCTGAAGAAGACATAGCTTAGAGACACAGTATATTACCTAACTGGGGAATTTAGGGTTATGAACTGGGATTGGAGACTAAGAAATCCCTGGCCATAGTTCTACCCTGATAGATCTCAAGATACCACAGACCCCTCCATCCCTCCCTCCACATTTATTTCCTGATTTATTCCTTAAGTGGCTGTTTAACTGCAGTGCCTGGGCACTCCCTAGAGTAATCCCTATAAAACTCAGGGCATTTACAGCCAGCAGTCTGAGGAGTGTTGGTTTTATCAATTGCAGACCCTCCTTCCCTTGCCATAGTGGTTCCAATGAAGTAGGTAAGTCCTGGGTCCCCAAACCCTCTAACCACAGGATCACTGAGCTGGGGAACCTCAGTCCCATCTTCCCAGACTGACATGAGATCGTTTTGGATGTTACTAGGGAGAAAGATTTCCCTCCATCATCAAAAAATGGCATGATAAAAGTTCAAAAGGCCCTTAATGATCATCTAGATTAGTCCCTAACTATTGCAAAGTTCCCCTCTGCAGGACCCCTCATGGGTTCTCCTCCAATCTCTACTCACAGTGGTGGATAGCTCACTCACTATTAAAGTAATCAATTCCATTCATGCACAACACCAATAATTACAGGGTTATTCTTATGTCAAGCTAAAAAAAATGATCTTATAACTTTGACCTAGAGAACCTATTTGTCCCATCCAGGGTCTCGCAAAATATCTACTTCCTCTTTCACATGAAAGCACTTTACATATTTGAAGGTATGTACCATGGACTGCCAAAGGCTGATCTTTTCCAGGTAAAGACACTCCCTTGGTCACGTTAGTGTGACGCTATCTCTCTTAAAATGTAGTGCCCAGAGCTGAAAACGGTACTCTCCAGAGCTCTGGCCAGTGGGGCCATTTACCTCCCTGGACCTGGATTCTGTGGATGTGGGTTCTTGCCTGCTACTCCTGCCTAGTATCTCGGCAGACCCCTCCAGATTGTAAATTCTTCGTTTGTGTGGTGAGTTTTGCATGTGTCTAGATGGCAGTGACAGAATTGAGCATATGAGGTAACGGGTCAAAAGATCTCTGCTTCACCTCAGGGGAACTGACTGTAGCAATTCATCAATCACGTTTCTTAATTTCCTGCTGTGTGCCAGGCACCGTGCTTAATGCTGGGGAGACAAATGCTATAGAAGTTAGGGAGAATCCAATTCATTAGTGCCTGCTGATGAAGGGACCAGGAACCTTCCACATCCCTCATAGCCTAAAATAAGAAATATTCTTGTGACAGACGGAGAAATTTCTGTCATGCTCCATGTTAACAAGAAAGGGGACAATGTGGTTGGTAGTTGAAAGAACACCGGCTTTGGAGTCACAGGCTATTGGTTCAAATCCTGCCTCCAATGCATACTACCTCTCTCACCCTGGACCAGTCAGTTTGACTCCTTGGATTTAGTCTCTTCACCTGTAAAATGAGATTAGATGGCTTCTGAGATTCCTTCTAGCTTTACATCTATTATTCTGTGAAAGAATCTGCATCATATATCCCTCTCTTTTTTGCCTTCAGTTCTCATAGCATACTCAAGACAGCTGGACCTGGAGGCAGGAAGACCTGAGCTGAAATTCAGACCCTGACACTTACAAGCTATGTAACCCTGAGCAAGTTATGTAACTTCTCTGGGCCTTAGTTTCCTTATCTGTTAAATGGCATTCAAGATCTCTCTCAGCTCTAAATCTATGATCCTATGATCCCCCAAGCACTTAACCCTGTGACGTTCTCCTTTAGTAAAGCATTGGACCTTTTCCTCTGAAGTCCCAACCTGCCCCCACAAGATTAACATCCTTTAGTCAAGGAGGCAGAGACCACCTTTTGCAGAGTCATTCTAAGAATTGGAAAGAGCCTTCTATCTAAAGCTATATCTGATCTCACTACTCTTAATTCCTGAGGCCTGATAGGATGAAATAGCTCTCATTTTTCTGTCCCTCCCCCTCCCTCTATTTTTCTCTGGGTCTCTGCGTCTCTGTTCTTCTGTCTCCATCTCTTTTTCTCTGTCGTATACATACATTCATGTGCACACACACACACACACCAGGTGGGAAGGAAAAATGAAAACCTACTTTTTTGTATGCCTGGTTCCTAACACAATTCCAGGCACATAGTATTTGCTTAACATAAATGTTATTTGATTTGTTGATTACCTAATTCAGTTAATGATCATGTGGCTAATACTGCTGTCCTCCTACTCATCCAGGTTCCAAATCCTAAGATTGTCTTTTATAACACTCCCCAGCTTCCACTGAATCAGACTACACTACTGCTACCCCCATTGCCACAAGCCTAGCTTAAACTGTTCACAGCCACCAACCTGAGTTACTGGAATGGCTTCCTAACAATTATCCCTGGCTCCATTCAGTCTGTCTTCCACCTCTTCATTCCACACTGCACACTCTACCAGAACTGCCTTCCTAAAGGACAGGTCTGCATATCTTGGCACCTGAAGGATTAGCCTTAGCACTGTGGAAAAATAGCTCATTGTCTCTGGGCTTTAGCCTCCTCTTCTATGGGATGGAGATAATAAAACTTCTGCAGTTCCTGTTATAAGAAAGGACTTCTGAACTCTAATGTGCTATATTAAAGTGAGATAATGATGATATCCATATGTTATTCAAAAACCTAGTCATAGCTGTAAGGAAAGCTTTTTGTAACCTTAAAGCATCATAAAAATGTGAATTATTATTAGCAAAGTATTATATCACTCACTCCCCTACTCAAAAGTTTTCTGTTCTGTTCATTGTGCGTCCTTTGCTGGGCACTAGGAGAGATTTGAAGATATACAAGAAATGGTCCCTGTCCACATGGAGCTTACAGCCTAGTGGATGGGAGAAACCAGGAACAGATTTGAGGAGAAAACAAGGAAAGATGTGACAAAAAGTTATAATTAATGGAAAGAGTTATATCGGAGAACATAGGAGGGTGAGAATACTGCTGGTTAGAGAGTCATGGAAGGGTTCAAAGGTAAAGAAGCATTTCAACTAAGCCTTAAATAAATCATGGATTTTGACCAGTAGAGAAATTGTTGGGCACTGAGGGCCTTCCAGGGATAAGGAATAGCTGGAATAAAGGCCAAGGATTTGGCAAGTATAGACTATGTTCACAGAATTTAGACTTGTCCAGTTTGACTTGTGTTAAAAATGAAAAGCCCTTTCTGAAGTCTTCCCAGTAAGGGAACCATAGAAAAGTTTAGCTCTAAACCTCCAAAATATAGCAGCTGTTTTTATCCATATGAACCAGGCAGAGGCCATGCTGAAATAATACCTAAAGGAAAAAGAGGCTGAATCTTACTTAGAAATGAAGATGAAACCATTATGTACATTCTGTGAATGTAGAGAAATAGTATAGGTCCAGAATGAAGCGGAGACAAGGGGGTGGGAATGAGATTCATAAGACAGAGTCAAACAGCACTTAAAGGAGAGGAAAATCTCTATAAGTAAATTGAAATATCTTTATTTCATTTATTTTTGAGGAAGGACATTGAGAAATGTGACATATTCATGGGAGGAAGATGTCTAGGATACTGAGGGCACTAGCAACTATGATATGTTAGGATTCATTGAAGCACGTGGGGGTTGTGTGCTTGGAGAAGACTTGGGGTGGTGGGAGACGGTAGAAAAGATTGTTTTCTGCAAACATTAGAAGTGTTTTCCTGTGCAAGAAGGACTAGATTTATCTTGTTTGACTGCACAGGACAGAACTGGGAAAATTTGGTAGAAGTGGAAGAAAGAAAGGGGGATTTTAGTCCAATGTAAGGAATATTTGGAAACAGTAATAATTGTCCAAACTTGGAATGAATTGACTCTAAAATCAATCATTTCTCCATATTATGGAGATTTAAGTAAGCATAAGTTCCGTGACAACTTAAAGTTGTTGTGGAGGTGCTACTTGTTCATGCACCAGTTGGACTACTTTACTTCTAAAGTCATTGACACACATGTACATAAATACACACATATGTACACATGTGTACATGCTTTATATATACATACTTATATATGTGTATGTGTGCATATATAGATTTATATGTATTTGTGTGTATATATGTGTGCATATCTATCTCTCTTTCTATATCTAAATTTATTTATCTATATTTATCTGTATAAAACAAGGTCAGGTAACATACCAGGAATACAAAAACTAGACACTAAAATTAGAGTTGAGTACTAACCCTCAGAATGAGATGACCCTGATGAGGAAAGCTAAGGACAACAGATGTCTTTGTTTTTATTTGCATTGGAGGGAAAAGGAGGATTAAAGAAGGGATAACTGACAACAGAGAAAACTCAGAGATGCTCAATTTCCATTTTGTATCTGCTTCCTCTGCCAAGATGAATATCTTTGGACAGGGAGGAAAAAGAACAAAAGGAGTAGGGAGATAGTCAGAGAGCCCTTAATTTACATTTATGTGCTCACGTTGCTTGCCACACATAAGGGAAAATAATATCAGTTTGACTGGATTGAGGAAGGGGATGATGTGCTTTAGGTTGGGGCTCAGTTTTAAAGGACCTTAAATGTTAAACAAAGAAAATTTATATTTCCTTCTAAGCCAGAGATTGTTAACAAAGGAGCCGTAAACTTGGTTTTTGTTTTGTTTTGTTTGCTTTTAGGCAATTGGGGTTAAGTGACTTGCCCAGGGTCACACAGCTAGTAAGTGTCAGGTGTTTGGTCTGAGGTCGAATTTGAACTCAGGTCCTCCTGACTTCAGGGCCGGTGCTGTATCCACTGCGCCACCTAGCTGCCCCTTGTAAACTTGTTATTTTAAGAAATGTTTTCTTAACTATATTTCACTATCAGTGGTTTATTTAAGTTTCCAAAGTTTATTTATTATCTGTCATTTAAGTTATTCAAATGCTCCTAGAGGTGATGAGGTTCCCCTCATCAGGCATCTTTAAGCAATACTGAGATAATAGTTTTCATGTTTGGTGAAGGAGAGATTCATTTGGGACCATACCTTACATTATATGGCCACTAAGGTCCCTCCCAACTCTAAAATTCTGAGATTTTATGATTCCAGCTCTGAGATCCAACAACTATATTTTTGAACCTTATTCTTGAGGTTATTTCTCATAAATTTATGAATAAAGCTTTTTAGACATGAACTCAGCTTGTTTAAGAATTTCTACCTCTTCCCAGTCTTGTAGATTACATAAATTCAGGCAGCAAAGGAGCCTTCATTCTCCCCGATCTCAAAGAGGATTTGTGATTAAGGTCTACTGGAAAGTAAATAAACGTCAAGATGTGGCTTTCTGTGCTTTGAGGAGAAACATGAGGAAAGAAAGAGGAAAAGCAATAAAGGAAGAAAAAAAGTAAGGAAGCAATATGGGGGTGCAGGAGAGGAAGAAGAAGAAGAATCGAGGAGGGTATGTAACAGGAAAAAAGGGGGAGGACATATGATGTAGAGAAAAAGTTAGGGGAGAAATTTCTGTTCCCTGTTCTTTGGTGGGAGTGAGGTAGCTGGGAAAATGTGAGGACATATGCTATGGTTGCAAACAAAGAACTAAATTGATAAACTGACATTATTATCATTTACTGTTATCAATCAGGAAGGCCAAGAGATCCACAGAGGTTAGGGTTAGCAAGAAAGACTTCCTCCATGAGTTAAGTTATAAATCTGCCTTAAAAAATGTTATGGACAAAGATTAACCAAAAGGCTAAGGGAAGTTATTCCAAGTGTTGGCAAGGAACAAAGAACAAGAGACATTTAGGAGACCTACCTCATTAGAATAGAAGATATATGCTGAAAAATAGAGTGACATAGAACTCTGAATGGAGTGGTTTGAGATTACAGAGGACTGAATGCCAAACTGAGAGATTTGATCAACAATGACCTACCCTTTCCTTTCCATGAAATTTGCCTGCATAGCCTGAACAAAATTCCCGGATGGGAAGTTCTTCACTAATGGCACAGGGTCACCTCTCTTCACTCTGACTGGTCTCCCAGGGCTTGAAGACTCCAACACTGGATGTTTCTTCTGTTTGGAGTCCTCTACACTGTCTCTGTTGTGGAAAATAGCCTAATTCTCTTCATTGTCAAAGAGGAGCAAAGTCTGCACCAATCCATGTACTATTTCTTATCCATGCTTTCAGTCAATGACCTTGGTGTGTCCTTGTCCACACTGCCCTCAGTGTTAGCTACTTTGTGTTTCCATACCAAGAAGATAGCCTTTGATGCCTGCATGGCACAGATGTTCTTCATTCATTTCTTCTCCTTCATGGAGTCTGGGATCTTACTGGCCATGAGCTTTGATCGTTATGTGGCTATCTGCAACCCACTGAGGTATTCTACCATTCTCACTGATGCTCAAGTTACACAAATGAGTCTGTTCATTAGTATCCGCTGTTTCTGTGTGGATTTTCCATTGCCCTTCCTTCTGAAACATCTGCCCTTTTGCAAAGCCAACATTTTGTCCCATGCATACCGCCTATACCCTGACCTGATCCATCTACCCTGTGGGGACATCACTATCAATAGCATCTTTGGCCTGTGTGTTATCATCTGTACCTTTGTCCTGGATTCTGTACTCATCCTCCTCTCTTACATTCTCATCCTCCACTCTGTGCTGGCTATTGGCTCCCAAGAAGAGAAGCTTAAAGCTCTCAACACTTGTGTGTCTCATATATGTGCAGTACTAATCTTCTATGTGCCCATGTTGGGTTTATCCATGGATCACCGCTATGGAAAATATGCACCAACATACGTGTACATATTAATGTCACTTATCTACCTCTTTGTCCCTCCCATGCTCAATCCTGTCATCTATTCTATCAAGACAAAGGAAATTCATAGGAGGCTCATCAGGTTATTCTCTGGGACTAAACTCTGAACGAGGAAGCTGGAAAAATAAAACACCAATTACACACAACATCATTCCATCAAGTTCACTGTGACTTTAAATGTTGGTTTTACATTATCTACACAAACATATTGGTGAAGCTCTAACATACTGGGTGTTTTTGATATATTTTTTTTAAGTTTTGAGTTCTAAATTATATCTCTCTCTCCCTCCCTCCAGTTCTTCTTCCCTGAGATAGTAAGCAACCTGATAGAAATTATATATATGCAATTATGTAAAACATTTACACGTTATTCATTTTGTACAAGAAGACTTGAAGAAAAAAAAGAAAATTAAAAATAATATGCATCAGTCTGTATTCAGAAACATTAGTTCTTTCTCTGGGGGCAGAGAAAATGTTTCATCATGAGTCCTTTGGGATTGACTTGGATCATTGTACTGCTGAGAATAGCTAAGTCATTCATAGTTGTTTGTTATATGATATTGCTGTTACTGCGTACAATGCTCTCTTGGTTCTGTTCACTTCATTTTCTATCAGTTCATGCAAGCCTCTCTAGGTCTTTCTGAAATCAGCATGCTCGTCATTTCTTATAGCACAGTAATATTCCATCACATCATATGCCACAGCTTGTTCAACCATTCCTCAATTGATAGGCATCCCCTCAATTTCCAATTTTTAGCCAATACGAAAAGAGCTGGTATAAATATTTTTGTTCAAATAAGTCCTTTACTCTTTTTTAAAAATCTCTTTGGGATACACACCTATTGTGGTATTGCTGGGTCAAAGGATATGTACAGTTTTGCAGACCTTTGGGCATAGTTCCAAATTACTCTCTAGAATGTCAACCACCATTGTTACACAATTACAAACCCAGGCACAAAATATGGCTACAAATACAATAGTACATGTGTAGTGAATAGAATGTTGGACTTAGATTCTGGAAGACCTGGATTTGAATCCTTCTCTGACATTAATAATTCCTGAGTACACTCCAGTGTGAAAATTATTATACATCTCTAGGGTATTCCGGAGGACTAGTACATCTGATGTAAGGGCTTGCTGAGCCCTTTTCAGAGTTGCTCTCCACCTTTGGTGTCTACCTGCCACTCAGCTTTCAACTATGGCTCCAGGAAGCTGTAGCATGTGCCACAGACACATGCTAGTAAAACTGTCTCCATAGAAGGGCTAAACCAAAGGGTAACCAAAGGGTCTTAAACTTGATGATTATTTAGGGAATATCTACCCCAAGTAGGTGAAGACTTTCCTGGCAAAATAGATAGAGGAGAACAATTTATTCCAATGACACATAAAGGAGGTGGAAACAGGCCCTGTGGAGAGCTTAGAACTTTACCAGACATTGAACATGCAAGGTCATTTACTGCATCCTGAGGCATCACCAAGCATCTTGACCTTTGTCTTGCCACTAGACTGTAATGACTCTCAAAGAGAGAGAGGCTGATATACAATTCTGCCTCACTTAAATCCAATTCACATGCAGGTCAAGAAGATATTATACATCTCTGAGCCTTTGTTTCCTGGGAACAATAATTATCTCTCTGAGTTTAGTGGAAGCTAGAATGAAATAATGAGTATAAAGAGTTTTGCTAAATTTAAATTGACCTAAAAATGACCACTATTATTATTCTGGAAAGGGTATGTAAATAATTAATAAAATATATAACTGGACTAGTATAAAATTTATATATCTAAAATGAATCTAATATAGTCCTGGGAAAAGCGTCATGAGCTGCAAAGCTTGATAGACTAGTTATGCAGAACTATCACCAATGTAGAAATATTGAGCTCTGTGCCTGTGAGGCTGCTCTGGGGTCGAGGAGGGGAAGGAGAAATGAAGGTATCAAGGAATTCTGCAGAAGAAAAGAAGAGAGGTAAGCTTTAAATTCAGGACCCATAGTCTTCCTCCATTCCTTTCAGGTGCAGATCCTAGTCAAGTTAAGTCAACAAGCATGAACCACTGTACTAAGCACTGGGAATAAAAATATAAGTCAAAAAGATGTTCCCTACTCTCAAGGAGCTTATATTCTAATGAGGGAAGACAACCCATAAAATGAAACAGTAAAAGGCTAGAGAGGGAGGATAAGGCATCCCTTTAGGGGCATGGTAAAGAAAGTCTGAAGAGTCAGGAGTGGAGCCTAGAGAGATAGGAAGATGTGACTGCCTTAGACATTTGTTAAAATGAAGGTCTTGAGGGGTCAGAGCCAAGATGGCAGAGTAAAAGCATTGCTTGAGCTCTCCTCCAAACCCCTCCAAATACTTGTAAATATCTCTAAAAAAATTCTAGAGGAGCAGAACCCACAAAAAGACAAAGTAAAACAAATTTCCAGCCCAAGACAACCTGGATGGGTGATTGGAAAGGTCTATCACCTGACTGGGAGAGAAATGCAGTTCAGTATGGGTGTGCAGGGAAAGACCAGGCCTCAGCAAACCTGGAATAGGCCTCAGAGGACTGAATCATGGGCAGCGGTGGTGGTTTCTAGACTTCTCAACCCACAAACACCAAAGACAACTTAGAAGGTCAGTAGGAAAAGTCTGTGACTGTGGTGAGAGAGAATCACAGTCTCTGCCCTAGCCCTGGCTGCAGCCCTGGGGCGGCAGCTGCTTCCTGAACTTCTGGCCCACAGACTGAGGGGGAATCCAGTGGTTGATCAGAGAAGGATTGCAGGGAGCTTTTTGCTGGTGCAGGAGTCTCTTAAATTGCCTGTGCTTGGATCTGGGTCACAGTTCTGGGTGGCGATCCTGGGGCGAGAAGGAGTGCTGGTGTGGTGGAGCTTGTAGTGGTGGTACAGAGAGAATCCTCCTCACAGTTCCAAGGCAGAAAAGAGTGCTTGTGGTCACTTATAGACGAGAACACAGGCCAGGAAAGGAGTAAACACCTCACCCTTGATCATACCACCTTGGGAGAACTGAAAACTTACAGGTCCCTAAAAGTGTTGATGGGGTGCTTGGGTGCTTGTGTTTGGGTCCTTGCTCTTGTACTTGGACCCTAATTTCTCCCTAGTCTCAGAAACATTGTCTCTGATAACCACTCCCCAGCCCAAGGACACTGTGCCTAGCAGTTATTCATGCATGGGCCTCAGCCTGACACTTACCTGTCTTCCTATTCCAGCTACACAAAGCTGAGTGAGAGAGTGCTGGGCTGCTCAGGCCCCAGCCCTCAGATCATGTCCCTGGAAGCCTCCCAATTCCTTAGTAAGTTCCTGTCTTGTGAGAAAGCTTTCCTTTGTTGCAGAACATTCTCTCATCAAGACAAAGGGAGAGGGGTGCCTTGCCCAGCACAAGGAGTTTTGTCTTTGGCCAGCCCAAGGACTCTTCCTCCTGCCAGACTCCCAAGATCCATACCTCTGTCATTTCCCTCCCTGATTGGTATACTCCCTGTACTTTCCCATCCATAGCTCCCAAAGACACCTGGACCTTTGGATTAGCTAATCAGTATCCCTGGTATTCCTTTCCCATGCCCTTTTCCATATAAACCCTAGCTCCATCCTCAGTCTCTTGCAGGTTCCTTAAGAATCCTTGCCTGCTGAAAAGCGTAATAATAAATCTTTGCCACCTTGACTTAAAGAATGCTTCGAGGGGTCTCAACCTCACAGACTGCAAAAGTATCTCTGAAAACAGCTGCACAAAACCCCCTGAAGCTTGGGACAATACATCTGCCATATTGGAAGCAGACTCCTAACTTAACAAAGAGTTTATAATTCAAGTAGTTGGCTGGGATCATAAGCAAATGAAGGCACAAAAAAAGACAGATCATAGAATCCTTCTTTCATAACAAAGAAGATCAAAATGAAGGTCCTGAGAGCAATCATGCAATCAGAGGAAGGGGTCCCAGGATAGAAGGTAATTCTAGTGTGAGAAGTCTAGAAGTGGAGGGAAAGAAGAACCAGAGAGTCAAGAGCAGAACAGATGGAGAGGAGTAGAGTAATGAAGCTTGATCACTGTTTTGGCCCTTTTCCTTCTCTGAACATTGATTTCCTTATTTGTACATGTAAAATCAATAAAAGTCTGACTAAATGAGTCCAAGGTCCTTTTTAGCTCTTAGAGTTTAGGGTCTAACATGGCATTCAGTACTGGAAAGAAGTCTGCATTTGTAGTTAAATGACCTGGTTTCCTGTTGTAGTTGTGCTACTTACTACCTGTATGATCTCAAGCAAATCCACTCACCTCTCTGGGTCTCAGTTTCCTTATCTGTAAAAGGAAGGCTCTGATATAAGTGGAATCTAAGGCTTCAAACCTGTGAACCTATTAACATGTGACTTTAGGTGAAATCTTTGCTACTTACTGTAAAACCTGGGACAAATCACTTCACCTCTCAAGTTCTCAGCTTCTTCTTATGTAAAGTGAGAGGGTAAGCATATAAGAGCTCTGAGTTCTGCATTTATGATTCAATGACAAATCTTGTTACAGAGAAGAAATTTTAAAAAAGTACCTCCTTACTGTCTGTGAGGAGGTGGTGAACTCTGGGTGGATCCAGAGTATTGGGTAAGATGTCAGACATAGTTACTGTGTTGGTTGGTTTTCCTTACTTTATTTTTTAAAATGTTACAAGGAATAATTCTAGGAGCTTGGGAGCAGGAGAAGGTATATCAGAAATGACTATGATATAAGAAATAGAGTATATCAATAAAAATTTTTGGAAGAATGACACAGAATGGGCATAAGTCATCAGCTATATCTTATCAGTAACTATTTTTGTGCAAAAAAGTAGAATATGAGACATTATAAAGGATATGTATAATTGGACAGGGAGGTAAACCAGTCCTGTAGCAAGTCAACTAAGAGGCACAGTAGATAGAGCTCTGTGTCTATAGTCAGGAAGACGTTGAGTTCAAATGTGACCTCGGGTACTTACTAGTGATGTGACCCTGGGCGAGTCACTTAACCCTGTTATGTGACTTGTCAAGCCTCACTTTCCTCATCTATAAAATGAGCTAGAGAAGGAAATGACAAACCACTCCAGTATCTTTGCTGAGAAAAACCCCAAATGGGGTCACAAAGAGTTTGACACAAC